GGGTATGAATACTTTTGCAAACCACTGTATATATATATATCAATACACTCCCAATATCTTAAAGACATCAACAAATCTGTGGTCAGAAATGAGTGGAAAACTGAAAGTAAAAGAGTTTCTCTGACACCATACTTGCAGTTGTCAGCTGGCCTGCTTTTTGTTTCTGTGTTGTTTGTGCTTCAGATTTTTTTGGTGAATGCACACAGACTCTGTTTTCTCCAGGACACTGTGCAGTCCATGTTTAGGGTCTGACTAAATCCTGGTGACTGACTTCCTTTAGCATTTCTATCATTTCATTCTGTGTGCATTTCCATTGTGTTGGGGGAGTTAAGTGTGTTCTTTGTGAGGCTGAATGCTGCCTTTAAGCAGCCGTCAGCGATTCGGCTGGAACTGAGATGAAAGATGGGATTGTGGTGGTCACTGAAGGTCTTTGTTGGGTCGTTGGGCTGATGTGATGAGCCAGGCCTCGACCAATTGAGGTGATTTTTAACAGTAGATAATTACACAAGCTTTAACAGTTTGTTAATGTTTAACAGCCACAAATGGACTTATCTGGTTGTAACAAATAATTTGTATTTCATACTCCAAATAATTTGTTCCTGTTTACTTTAGCATTGTAAATTATATCCACCTGATTAGGTGCCAGTAGTTGAATTAATCTTTAATATTGACAACTTTAAACTAACTGAATCTCAGCATCTTTACTGCAGCTGATCACACTGATGCTACAGAATATTACACTTTAACTTAATCTGGAATTTTTTTAAAGTATTTTGTTCATTTAGTGATCCTGTGGTTCAGTATTCTTTAACCTAACTACGAAATTGCTGTTTCGCTTCATCTTTAATATTCCCTCAGTAATAAATCTGTTGATTAATCCTGCCGTCGCTCACTGATGTCATCAGCTCATCATTTTCGGAGCTGCRGAAACACAGGTTGCTTTTTCACAAGTCGGTCTGCCCGGCTTGGGCCCGGCTCTGATACTACCTTGCGGGCTCAGAGGGGCATTAGAGGCAGCCTCACTTAACTCGCCTTTCCGCCTTCAAGTTTTTTCTGAATGATCCAAGGAGAACAGAACACACGCAGTTCCTAAATGAGCTGTCTTATAAATGAGGCCATGCTCTCTCTGTGAAGGTGYGAGTTTTCTCCAGGTCCTCTGGTTTCCTCCCACAGACCAAATTCTTAGAGATCAAAATCATGCTTCTTAAAGTATTCACTGATCTCTACTTGTAGCTGGGCCGTTAACCTCTGAAGAACTTTTAAAAAAGTTAAGGAAATCAAATCACACTTTATGGTGCTGTGTGAACACTGAGCACTGAATGACTTTGATGCCGAAGAAACTAAAACTGAGTTAAAACAACAAAACACACAACAGGAGCTAACAGCTGCACAACAGGAGCTAACAGCTGCACAACAGGAGCTAACAGCTGCACATCATGAGCTAACAGCTGCACAACATGAGCTAACAGCTGCACATCATGAGCTAACAGCTGCACAACATGAGCTAACAGCTGCACAACATGAGCTAACAGCTGCACAACATGAGCTAACAGCTGCACAACATAAGCTAACAGCTGCACTACAGTAGCTAACAGCATCACAACATGAGCTAACAGCTGCAGAACATGAGCTAACAGCTGCAGAACATGAGCTAACAGCTGCAGAACATGAGCTAACAGCTGCAGAACATGAGCTAACAGCTGCAGAACATGAGCTAAC